GGGGGGGCTGTGCCAGGGGGGCTGCCCGGGGTGAGGAGCACGGTGGCCACGCAGCTGCCTGGGGCACACTTGTCAGGTTTTGCTGCATGTGTCCTGTGACAGGGTGCCTGGGGCACTTCTCCAGGAGCCCCTCTGTGTGTGAAGGCACTTCTGCTGGCAGCACAGAACTTGGGCTCCTCGCTTTGCTCTCCCACAGGCAGCTTTTTACTTACTCTAACCATCCCTAATGCGGCCAGGTTATAAGGGTGCAGGTGACAGGGGAGCCCTGTAGCCTTGATGCATCCTTTAGGATTAAAGGTTGGGCAGCGTCTCAGGTGGTGGAGCTGGACTTTGCTTCGTGGTGTGGCTCTGGCAGGCAGGGCTCGGGGTGGAGTGAGCAGGCACTGGGCACCCAGCTGCTGCCTTGTGCTCTCTGCCCTGCCCGAGTCCAGGGTCTGTGATCCACTGTGGAGCCTGACCCCAGGCAATGGAAGTGGCAGTTTGCTCTGGGATCTCCAGCCTGTCTCCAGCTTTGGTTCACTTGGCTTGCTCAGGAGCAGCTTTCCAATGCCCAGCCAGCTTTACAGCTAGGGGAATTTGTTGTATCACTTATGGAGACATCCCCCCATCCCCAAAAAACAAACTCAGTAAGTCTGCAAACTTAAAGGAAGCATTTGAGAAGAACAACAACTTGCATTGGGCAACTCCTCTTATTGAAACTCAGAGCTGAAGTTGGTCCAGAACCTCCCTTTTCCTGTAACTTAAGCCAATAATTTCCATGTACTGGCACTGGCTGATGAACCTGGTGATGCATCCCAGCCTCTGGGAGGTCTGTGGCTGAGGTGATCCAGCAAGCTCTACAACATCCCAGTGTGCTTATCCCAGCTCAGAGAAGGGGATTGGAGCAGAGCACATGCTGGTGGACAGACAGTGATCACTGCCTGGTGCAGAACGCCCTGTCCTCACTCTGCTGGCTCCAGTGCCAAGCTGGTGTGATTTGGAAGAGGTTGCCCTCTGTGTCAGACAGAGATAGAGCTGTTTATCTAGTAGCAAAACCTCTTGCAAGAGTTTCCAATCTAGTAAGCATGCTTCATTAATGCTTGGAAATCAGAGGATCCTAAAAAAAGGCCTCTGTCACAAGCTGTGGAGCAGAGCATGTGAAGCTGGGGCTGCTGGATTTCAGACTCAAGATGTTACAGGAAAAGCAGATGCCCTCTCATTTTTCTACTCTCTCCTTGTGTCTGGCAGTAAGTGCATCAGATTTACAGCTCTGTGCAGCTGTGACTGCACCAAGTCAGGATCATTTAAACCAGCAGAGCAGCTGCTTGCAGGTCTGGAGGGGAGTAGGACCTATCTTCTTAACCCTGCAGGTGACATGATCAGCTCAGCAGGCCTGTTGGTCACCTGGTTCTTCTTAGCTTGCTCTGAGCTCTGCCCCTTTGCCTCTTTCAGTGGCTCAGGCCACATCTTGTGCAAGGAAATGCTGGCTCCTTACTGGCAGGAGGAAGTTGGATGGTTGCTTGTTGAGTAATGTGTAACCAGCCTCTCCCAGCAGCTACCAAGCAGTGTGAGTTCCAGAGCAGTGACCTCTTTTTTGGTTGGCAGTCAGAAGGGAGGAGAAGTGGGATTTAGGTCAGTCTGGTGGCATGACATCCACCATGACCTATCTGGTTCATGTCACCCTGCCTTTCCTCACCTGTCCCCTTGTCTCTTCATCTGCACTGCACTCCTGTAACCTCTGTGCCAGGTTCCCTGGTGCTCGGGAGCTCTGCAGCCCGTGCATGTCCCCGTGTCCTTCCCCTGGGTGCGGCTCTGACCTTTGCAGCGATTTGGAATGACAGGGGACTGATAGCAACAGTGCCACTCAGCTGTGTCACCTGTGGCTGTTGGCCTGGCCTGAACTCCAGTGTCAATGCCTGGGCCCAGGCAGTCTGCGTGGTGGGGCTTCCCATGGAGATATGAATCCCGGAGTGGGGAGGAGCAAGCCAAGGAGAGGCATGTGGTTGAGGAGTTGATGGCAAGGATGGGAAGACTGCTGGAGAACAGATGCTGGGAGCTGCTGCCAAGCCAGGAAAAGATGCTAGCTGGGTGTTCACCTCCTGCCCTGGGTAACAGGGATGCTTCCCAGGCTGATGGTGCCGTGCACTGTCATGGGTGGGGGATTGAAGCTGACACTGTCCCTCTGTCTCCTCCTGCAGGGATGAAAGATCCATCCTCTGCTGGCCAGGGAAATGTTTGGCCCTGAAGCAAGGCATCCAAGTGCTTGTTGGAGGGCACCTGAAGCTGCTCTAGAGGAAAGCAGAGCAGGAGGCTACTCCTGGGGCCTTTGTTCATGTGCAGACTCCTCTGCCTCCTGTCCTGGCAAATGGCTGCTCCCCTGCCCAAAATAGCCCCGGTGTGCTGCCAGCTTCTGGCTGTGTCCTTTGGCCCAGTTGGAGGGTCCCCAGCTCCCACCTGTCTGGGGGTGGCACAGATGGGCCCTGCTCCCATGGGCTGTCCAGGTCCTGGCTGGTGAGCCTGGGCTGGGTGTGCTCAGCAAGGGCATGGCAGCCTGCTCTGTCCCTTGGCAGGGCTGAGGGGACCTGCTGGTGCCCACTCTGGGGAGGGGGAGCTCCTTGGGGAAGTGTTTGAACAACTTGTGTAGCTCTGCTGATTGCAGAAGGAAAACATTGGCAGCATCAGAGCAGACCCACAGCACAGGGGGAAACGAGCAGCACTGAATGAGCAGGACTGGCAGTGGTCCTTGATCCAGCATTGAAACCAGCAGCTCTCCCTCTTGGAGTTTGGAGGGCTTCTAGTTTGCAAGGCCCTGGCAGCTGTGCTAGGCTGGACTCACCTTTTCCAGAGAGCCTGTAGTGGGCCTGGTTGTGAGCTGATGCTGAAGGAAGCATGGACCATTAAGTCTGTCTGTACTGACCTCAAAGTTACAATCAGCTTCTCCCAGGCTTCCAGTAAAATTCCCACACTGGGATTGAGTGGGGCTTAACATGTAGCTGAAGCACCTCAAGCATATGGGACCATGAGGACAGACACTTGGTGGTGACCCACAGGACAAATGAGACTGGAGGTTCTCAGTCAGAGCTGCTCATGTTTCTGTCCCACCTGCCCTGGCTATAGCAGACCCTGTCACCTCCCCACCCTGCTGCTGTCTGACTGCTGTTCTCTCTTGCAGGATCATCAAAACTGTGGTCAAGACCTTCAAATATTTCTTTGGCCTGAGGTTTGAGGTGAAGGGACTGGAGAACTTTGAGGTGGAGGGCCCTGCTATCATTGTGTCCAACCACCAGAGCATCCTCGACATGATGGGTGAGAAGCTGGTGGGAGGGAGGGAGCTCACCCCCAGAGCTGCTGGCTGTCCTGACCAGGCAGCCCCCTGCCCTGGCTGGTCTGTGCTATCCAGCAGTGCTGGTTGCAGGGAGGGTCTTCCTGAGCAGTAACCCCCTGCAACCACCCTGCCCTGTAATTCCACTGCCTGCCAAGTCTCCTTCTGCTCTGCTGATGGCAGCAGAAGCCAGCAGAGAGATGATGCTCTGGCCTGTCCCTGGCACATCCCTCCCCACCTTGGGTCGTGTCTCTCGTCCCACCTGAGTGCAGCAGGGGGGTGGCTGCTGGGTCTCACCCTCTGCCATCACGTAGGGCTGATGGAGGTCCTGCCCGACGACTGTGTCCAGGTGGGCAAGAAGGAGCTGATGTATGCTGGCACGGTGGGGCTCATCATCTACCTCGGAGGGGTCATCTTCATCAACAGGAAGAGCACCACCAGTGCCAAGATGGTGATGGCAGAGGTGGCCAAGACTATGGCAACTGACAACGTGAGTGTGGCTGTGGTGTTTGGTGGGGTGGCAGGTGTCTGGGCACAGGGGGGAAGTGGCACTCCTGGTGCTGGCTCACCTGGAGTTACCCACCTGCATCTCTTGGCAAGGCTGGCTGGGGGCTCGGCCAGCAGGAAAGAAGCACTGCAAGTGGATTGCTGGAGCAGAGCCTTGTCTCCCCATGTGCAGGTGAAGGTGTGGGTGTACCCAGAAGGCACGAGGAACTGCACAGGGGATTTGCTGCCATTCAAGAAAGGAGCATTTCACCTTGCTGTCCAGGCACAGGTAACAGTGCTTTGCTCCTGCATGGAGACCCAAAGACTTTTGCAGTGGCTATGCCAGGGGGTCACATTGTGGTGTGATTTATTTGCTCTGGAGTAAGCTGTGTACCAGGGTCACAGCTGAGCTCCTCAGCTAAACCACCATCAGGTGTCACAAGTGCTGCCCAGCTGGAGCTGAGAGCTTTTTCCATCCCATGCAGGAGTGACTTGACCCCTGTGGATGGGGGGGCTGCAGACAGTGCAGAACCTGCTTTGTCCTCTCTCCAGCCTGTCCCAGGCAGAGCATGGGACACACACACACTTGACCCCCCATCTCTGAGCCTTGCAGGCAGCTGTCTGGCAGTGTGGCAGAGCAGTGTCCCTCCTGGGAGCATGGAGCTTGCTTGTGGCAGGGAGCCCAGTGGGTGCTGCACTTTGTTGGCTTGCCTGGAGAATCCCAAAGCTGTTGTTGCATTTCTCAATCCCCCAGGTCGCAATCGTGCCGTGTTGATTTGGGATCATTAGTGCTAATGCTTCAGAGCAACACTTGGACTTGCTCTGTGTGGAAACAGCTGCTCTCTTAAATGCCTTCACCCTCCAAAATGACAAGATCTGTGAGCAATTGGTGGGGGAGCAGAGAAACAGCCCCTTGCAACTGATTGCAACTGGTGACTCCTTTTCAGAGAAGCTGAAGGCACACCAGCTGGCCTGCCCCAAAGCACAGCAAGGCCTGTCAAAACAGGCATCCTCCAATGTCTGAAGGTCAGGCAATACCTGAGTTTTGAAGCCTGCCTTGGGATGAGGAATCCCAGGAGCCAGTGCAGACCTGAGTCTGAACTGTAACTAGTGCCTTGAATGTCCCTGTGCCTTGACTTGCTGAGGGTGATTTCTCATTTGTCTCCTGACTGTCCCAGTCTTTGGAAGTGGTTCTTGCTTGTGAGGTTGTGTTTGCCTGAGAGCCTGGCCAGGTAGCCTCTGCTGTGTGGGATTTGCTGCTTATCTCTGGCCTGTGCTGAGTTGCTGCAGTGCCAGTAACTCCTCTTTTTCCTCATCTTCCCTCAGGTCCCAGTGATTCCTGTGGTGTATTCCTCCTTCACCAGCTTCTATAACCCAAAGAAAAATCTATTTACATCAGGTACCAAAGAGCCTGAGGGTCTTTACAGTCACTTGGAGACAGGGTTGATGCCATACCCAAGTGAGATCTGCTTCACAAGGGTGTGAGAGAGAAGCAGAGCTGGGGTGAACAGGAGTTCTGTTCTGTGGGAACAGAACACTCTGGGGGATGTGTCGAGTCAGTTCAAAGCACTTGGCACCAGAGTCTGGGCTGGGTTAACTCAGAAAATAATGTAATTAAATACAGTGAGGGATGATTTCACTAAAAACTGGGCATTACCTCTCATAACTGGCACAGACCAAGTTATGGGGGAGAAGCAACATGCTCTGCCTCCTGACCTGTCCAAGCAGGGACCCCTCTGTAAGGATGCCAGGGAGGCTGGTGGTATCAAAGCTCAGAAGTCTCTCAGTACAGATGCTGGGCAGAAAGTTGGCTTTCAGTCAACTTGGAGCACTACCTCTCAATTTTGGGAGGAAGCCACACTTGCCGTGATCCCTATGGCTGGAGCAAGCCAAAGGTGGGAGGGTTGGGTGGGAGCAGCCCTGTGAGGAGATGTGGGCTGTGCTGGGCCCACCCAGGGCTGCAGGGCAGGGCTCCTGTGCTGTGTGGGTTTCTCACAAGCTCTTCTCTTGTTCCCAGGCAAAATCAAGGTTGAGGTTCTGCCTCCAATAGAGACCAAAGGCCTGACATCAGATGATGTGTCTGACCTCACTGACAGATGCTTCCACACCATGAGGGAGACCCTCTTCAGGCTCTCAGGCCGTCCCAGTCCAAGCCAGGCAAAGGACTAAATGCTTCTCCAGTGGCGTCACCGTGTGGTGGTGGCTGAAGGGACTTGTCTGTTGCCAAATACTGAAGGAACTTCTCTTCCTCTGCAGTGACTTCTAACTCTGGGAACACCGTGCACTGGCACACATGAGGTGTCAAGCCAGCACTGAGGTTCCCCATTGAGTGGATTTCTCTTATGTGTTCTTTATCTCGCAATGGAACATCTCCTTTTTCTGAATTTCTCAGGCATCAAACTTCTGCTACCAAAGGGCTCAATGACCAGAGAGGTGAGTTCCCCCAGCTCAGGCAGCTGGTGTGAGGTGACAGCAAGAGCCTGGCTGGAGGCTGGGCTCTTCCTCACATGGGTGTCTCTGCAGGCTCAGCTAGTGCTGGCCTGGCCCTGTGCTGTCCCAGATGGAAACCAGCAGGCAGCTGTTTGTATCTGTACAACCTTGATGCTGCTCAAACTGGGCTGAGAATGAGGTGAAAATCCAGACTCTGGCTCTTTGGCAGCCCTGGGAGAGCAGTGTCCACCCTAGGCAGCCCAGGCTCTGCCATCCTTCACGGTGGAACTCACAGGTGGTCTCTAGGGCAGAGCCTGTCACCTTGAGAGACACCCTGTAGTCCCAGCAGCATTCTGTGCTGGAGCTTTGTATTGCTCAGGCACTCCTGAACCAAGTCTTTCACTTCTGAAGCAAGTACTTGGGGCCAAAACCTCAGCTGAGCTGCAAAGGAGAATGTGTGGGGCCAGTCAGCCTGACAGTGTCTCTTTGGGCTTGATTGCCAGGTCAGAACAAGTGCCCTTGCTCATCGAGGGGTGCAGCAGGGCAGGGGAAGCTGCAGTCTGACTGAGCCAGCACATGTTACCTGGGCAGAGTTTAGCTGAATGCTGTCCTGCCTTCCCAGTTGAGTCACCTTCTGAATGAAACCTCATGCTTCTTTCTACCATTCTGAGCCACCAGCTTGATTTTAAAACCTGCACAGATGTGTTGTAATCTCAGGCAGACCCATCTGAGCCTGTGAGCTGTTGGTGGGACACCTGGGCTGCTGGCTGAGATGCGCACCTGGCTTGGCCCAGAGCTCCCTCGGTGTTGGGAAACTGCTGCCAGCTCCCTGCTGTGCTGTGACCTTGGCAGGGCAGCCTGCAGGACTTGTTGCAGATGGAAAGGACTCCGTTGTGTTCGTTTTGCCACTTGTCATGGTCAGCACTGGCCAAAAGATGGTGCCTGTCCCGCGTGTCTTTGCTGATGGCAATGGAGCTGCTGCTGGGTGAGACTTGTAAGAGTCCTGCCGAGCTGCAGGGCAGCTGAGCTGCAGTGTGACAGGGCTGGGAAGGCTTCAGCTCTCCCTGGGGGGAAACGGGCTCCTTCCCCCATCCAGATAAAGGGGTTTCTGCTGTGCTTTGGGGTGACAGACCAGTGGGGCTCCTGGATCTCTTGCTGGGACCTGCCAAAGTGTTGATGCCCTCTGTGAAGAGCACGGCTGGGTCAGGCTCACGGTCCCAGGGGGTGACCTTCACCTCTGACTGGGGTTCAGGGAGGCTTGACTCTTCTGTTGGTGGCACAGGGTGAAAAACTTTGAAATGAGCTGCCTGAGGCTACTCAGGTGAGCAGTGCAGCCACTTTCCCAGCCTGTGTGGGGCTGTGTTGGTGGAATTGCTGTGCTGTGGCATTTTGGGGTGAAAGCTTCAACTGGGAAAGGTGGGGAGTTCCCAGGGAGCCAGCAGAGTGCTGTTGGGCTGGGCTGGTGCTGGTGGGGGACAGGGGCTTTATTGGAGGGGCCTTATAGTACTGACTCAGGGGTCAGACCCAGGTGGGACGGGTCAGGGTGGGAGGATGGGAACTAAATCAGCACTTTGGAAGAGTGGCAGATAAAGGGCTGTCATGGAGGTTAAACCCAGGAGGGTCCTGGGAGGATAACCGGGTCCACAGAGTGATTCCTGCAGCTTCCTCCCCTGGGAGGAGGAAGCAGTGCCTCTGTGTGCAGTTGTTTGCTGTTCACTTTTAATTGGGTTGAGAATAATGTTATGTGCTTTAAAAAAAAAAAAAAAATAATAATTACACCTTTGGTTATTTAAATACAGGTGGCTCCTGGTCTTGTGTGGGAGCTAGGGCAGGAGGGAGAAGGGTGCTGGCCCTTCAGCTCTGGCAGGGGGTGGGTTTGGTGATGGAGGGGGAATGGCAGGTCTTTGTCCCCACCCTGTGTCCCAGAGGCAGAAGGGTCATGTTTCTGCACTCCAGCCTCACACCAAGCCACAGCCTGGCCTGAGCCAGGACAAATGCCTGCAGGGACCTGTCCCAGGGACACAGGAAGGTGGGGCCTGCATGGATGGGAGCCTGTGTCAAAGCAGGGCCCTGGAGTGAGAACCTTCCCAGCCAGGAATGATCCCACAGCCTCAGCGTGTGCAGCAGGGGCTTTACTTTGGCACAGCACCCCCTTGGCCACAGGGCTCCTCCTGTAGCCCAACTCCAGGCAAGGAGGATAGTGTTGTACCAGGTGGGTCACCTCTGCTGTGCTGTACCAGTGTCCTTGGGCTTGAGCAAACAGTGCTGGAGAGGCAGGAGCATGTGCCTGGGTTGTGGGGTGCAAGAGGGAGTGGCCACCCCAACAGCTCGTGCCAGGGTGAACACCTGGGGTGCCAGGCCCTGTCCCCAGTCCAGGTAGGCAGAGCAGTGTCCCTCCCTCCTTGGCCTCACCCTGTTGGCAAAGGTTTGTCCCTGTCTGCTCTGTGCTGGTGATGGGAGTGTCACAGGAAAAGGTTTTCTGCTAAAGCAAATGAAAACAAACTGTCAGAGCAAGTGAAAAAGCTTCATCCTTGTTGCTGCTCCATAGGGCCTGGGGATGGTGCAGAGGTCTGGGAGCAAGAGCAGGTAATTTCAGAGCAGCTGCCACGCTAGGAAGCACCATCCCAACCTCCAGAGCTCATGGAGAGAGGCTGGTCCCTGAGAGCAGCACAGGAGCTGCAGGGATGGGCACCCCCAGCCAGCTCAGTACCTCTGCAGGGACGCGTTGCACCCATCCCCGCCGAGATCCCGGCTCGGGGCTGCCCCTCTGCCACAAGGGGGTTTTTGCCAAGTCCTCCAAACACAGGAGAGTCCAAATACATCATCTTTGGGTGGGAGCAGGGAGGAGGAGCATGGCAGGGTGGGAAGCTGTCCTGCCTGGGCCAAGTCTGTGCTCCACAGGGAAATGATATCCCAGGGTAATGCTGAGCACCACACGGCTCCACGTACAGCCAGACAGGCACTACCAGCACGAGGTAAGGCATTTATTTTCTGCCCCTCCAGCAGGAAGGGGATGAGGTGCTGAGGGCTCAGAGTCCAGTTTGGAAGTAACTGCATGATCTTTGATAAGGTGAATTGGAAGAGAAAATGCTGGAGATGCTGATAGGAAACCAGCCTTCTCCTGCTACCCTGTGCCTTCCTGTAGGTGATGTGGCTTCATCCTCACCAAGGGCTGGAGAGTGAGGTAAGAGCTCTGGCTGCACTCTGCTTGGTCCAGTTCCTTGGGTGCTCAGCTAGAGTTCGTTCTTGCAGGAACCTGAGAAGATGAAAAACAATAATCCAGCCATGTTGGTTACCTGTGTTTGGCTTATTCCAACCTGGCACCTTCAGTGGTGGTTTAAAGAAGAGAAAATGTGTTTGTTTTTTTCCTCATCACATCCCCACTGGGTGGATAATTGGAAGGTGGAGCTGTAGCTTAGTATTTAGTTGTGAAATGCTTCCCAAGGCATGAAGAATGGATGGCCACACCACTCCATGGGATGCCCCTGGAGTAGGAAAGGGCAGTCTCGTGTCCTCCAGGGACTTCAAAGACCATGAGAGGGGGGAAAAAAATAACCCACACAAGTCTTGCTTGCTGGCACAGGATTGGCAGAAGTTAATTTCAGGACTTCGGAGTCATCCCTTGGCATAAATCCATGTTACCTTGTGATCCTGCTCACATTCCTCAGTGCTGTCACTAACAATATGTACAGGGCACTACCAGGAAACTCAGTCTGCTGGAACACTCAGTGGTTCTGATGATTACCCCTTTCCGAGCTGGTTTCTAAGTGTCTATTTGCAGCTGCTTTGTCTTCAAACAAGTTCTTTGAAGTCTTTTATATCTAAGGCATTACTGCAAGCAGTGAACTGGGACTGGGTATGTCCTGAAACAGTTTCCCTTAGTCCTTCCAAGCATCAGGCTGCTGCTGCACAGCAGCTCCTGAGTTGGCCCAGCCTTGCGTGGTTTCTGGGTGTGTTTGACTGGGATTACCTACTGGCAAAATAAGCTGCAGAGAGCTGCCTGTCAAAGTAAAGTGTTCACAGGGTTTGTGCTCCACCCTGAGTCAAACTGCAGGGCTCCAGGAGGAGCCTTGCACACACCTCGGGGCCCCCAGGAGATGCTGCCTCGCTCTCTGGCTCCGTGGGGGGGAGCACACCAGGCAGGACCGCCCCCCCACCTTCAGCCATTTCACACTTGACAGGTCTCACCAGTGGCTCCTCTTCAGACGCTGCTACTGAGGAGACCCGCTCTGGTCCACTGCTTGGCAAAGGAGTGGTCTGCAGACCTTAAAAAGAAACGCCTAAAACTTCCCAGGCTCGTAAATCTGCCAACTTTTGCACGCTCCCTAAACCTTCCTGATTGACTTTTTGGACTGTTAATTTCCTGAGACTTGAGGTTTCTTTTCTAAGGACCAAGTTCTGGCGGTACAGGAAGGGAACACAGCCAGTGAGGGCGCTGAGCGTGAGACATGACCTACTGCTCACAGGGACCTCCTCTTGCTTCTGCCCCAGAGCCACGTTTCCACGTGCCCATCTTACGATTTCTGGCTGCTACAAGGGCAGTCAGACAGTGCAGCCATAGAAACAGCCTTGAAATAAAGCTAATGGGCTGTTTGTGTTCATCTTTTATTAATTACAGGCTGCTTTGCTTGAGGGGGATATAAATTAATAGTGGCATATGTGTTACTGATCTCACTGGCCTACATCTGCTCACCAGGGCCAGTGTGGGTGGAGTGAAAAACTTCAACCCTGCTTTTTCCAGGCACTTACATGTCTCCAGCCGCTCCTCCAGGAAGGAGATCTGCTCGCTCAGGGAGTCAATCCTGTCCAGCTGCTGGAGGGAGTGGGACAGACGGCTGATGGGGTCTGTGCCCATGTCCTCTGGCACAGATGGCATGAGGAAGGGGGCCAGAACCAACTGGAGTTTCTGCAAGGAGAAGGGAAGCCATGAGTGTGTTCTCCTCAGCCACGAGGACCACCTTTTGTGTTCATCTTTTATTAATTACAGGCTGCTTTGCTTGAGGGGGATATAAATTAATAGTGGCATATGTGTTACTGATCTCACTGGCCTACATCTGCTCACCAGGGCCAGTGTGGGTGGAGTGAAAAACTTCAACCCTGCTTTTTCCAGGCACTTACACGTCTCCAGCCGCTCCTCCAGGAAGGAGATCTGCTCGCTCAGGGAGTCAATCCTGTCCAGCTGCTGGAGGGAGTGGGACAGACGGCTGATGGGGTCTGTGCCCACGTCCTCTGGCACAGATGGCATGAGGAAGGGGGCCAGAACCAACTGGAGTTTCTGCAAGGAGAAGGGAAGCCATGAGTGTGTTCTCCTCAGCCACGAGGACCACCTGGTGGGCTGTACAGCTGCCTGGTGGGTGATGGGTTGTGCTCCAAGGGCTGCTGGGCTGGAAGAGCTACTGTGTGGGCACTGCCAGCAGCGTGGAGCACAGCTGGGAGTGCTGTGGCATGAGGCCAGCACGATGTTAAAAATAGAGCCGGGGCAGAGGGAAACCTTGGCTGCAAACAGCACGGGGTGGGAGCTGGTTGAGCGTGGCCTTGAGCTGTGACAGGGCAGTGAAGGCAGGACGAAGCAAGACAGAGCTCACCTGCTCCAGTGCTTCCACTCTGCTCTTCAGGTCTTTCATTTCGTCCTTCATTTCAGTGGGGGGAACTGAAACAGTGACCACAAAAAAGTCAGTGAGTAAAAGCCCTGAGGTGAAGTGGAAGGTGCTGGGGTGAAATGTTGCTGCAGGGCTCAGGCCAAGCTCTGCTGCTTTTTGCTCCTCTCCTAGTGAGCTGCCAGGGTCTGCCCCACTGGGACCAGCCCACAGAACATCAATGGGATCCAATGCCTGCTGCAAGCACTGGCATCTAGTCCTGCAGCTGAGGCACACAAGCTTCTCCTTGCTGCCAGAGCACCTGCAACAAAGCAGGGAATTTTTCAGGCACTGGGGTGACACTTAAGGGATAAAACCTCTGGTGAAGCTTGGCCTTTTGCACCCATGGTGCTATTTAGCACCCAGGTCTGTCTTGTCCCATGGTGGCCACAAAGGCTCATCGCAGCTGAGGGCCCTGCAGGGGGGTGAAGGCAGGTGGCTTGTGGGGCACATGCAGATGGTGCCCTGCTCCTCCAGGTGTTCCCCGTGCGATGCCCGTGCTGGCCACAGCGCATTATTACTCACGGTACGAGTTTGAAGTGTCACAGCGCGTACCAAAAGTAATAATGGGCCATCACCAGCTGTGCTCTCTGCTCCTCGTGGCTCCGGACTTGTCCTGCAGGAAGGGTGATGATGATGATGATGGAGAGAATAACCACACACCACAGATGGGCTCTGTCACCCTTGCAGATGGAGAATTGGCTGGGTTTGTGCACAGGGAAGTTGTTTGGGTGGTAGAAGGACTCTCAGGTCACTGAGAATAAAGCTGAGAGGTTCTGGCTCTCATCCCCTCTCCTGCCTCTTGCCAGTCCTGCTCCAGCCACCCTCTGATGCTGAGTGTTAATCCCAGCCTTCATCAAAGGCCCCGAGCAGCTGAGGCCACCCTGCAACAGGGGCCAGGTTACCTGCTTGGCTGAAGGGGGGCTCGGGGGCTGGCACCAGGGGCTGGCAGGCCTTGTGGTCAGCAGCGAGGCTGAAGCCATCCCGGCAGGCGCAGCGGTAGCTCCCGGCCGTGTTGATGCAGAGCTGAGCACACCCGTGGCTCTGGCTGGCACACTCATCCACATCTGAAACAACAGGTACAACTGGGAGAGGACTGGGGGGGGGCTAAGAGAGGCTCACTGGGGTCAGGGGCACTAAGGGCTCAGCCCTGCTCGGGTCCTGCTCCCCTGCTAGAGCCACACGGGCTCACACAGGGCGGGGATGTGAGGGGAGCCCAGATTGAGCTGGTGTTTGTGCTGGGAGCAGCTTTGGGTGCTCTCAGGGACCTGCCAGCACCGGGGACTCTTGCACCTGGCTGGAGTAAACCTGGGTTAACCCCGAGGGGAATCTGGCCACCTCCCCTCTGCCCGCTCCTCCCACAACAGAACCAGAAACCAAAGCTGTGGTCAGAAACATCCCGGCTCTAGCCAGGCGTGCGCAGGCAGCGCTCAGCTCTCATCCTGGATTTATGGCCAGGGTTTTGGTTCCAGCCAGCCGTGGTGAGGAGCTATCAGCCTTTCAAGTGTGTACAAAACCCAGTAACCTCTCCTCACACGGGGGAGTTATTAAAGCTGTTCCCACAAAGCAAAACGAGCTGAAGCGCTTCCCACGCCCGGGTGAATCTGTTTTAGGCAGTGGGAAAATCCTCTCCCCCCGCGCTGGAGCCGGAGCTGTCAGCAACGTGCTCAGCCCTGCCTGGCCCAGCGTGGGCCAGTGCCACACGCTCCTCCTCTGCTTTATGGGAGGGTGAATAAGCTGGGAAACACCATGGCAGAGGTTTGCTCTGCAGAGCACTGCTGCCCTCCACACTGCCTGATTTTCCTGCACTCTGGAGAGGAGCATCAGGCTGCTGTGGTGCTGAGGAGGAGCTCAGTGTCCGGAGATCACCAGGCTTTCCCTCCACCTCTGGATATTTTTGTTTTACAGATTTAATCTCTGCATCTTAGTTTATAGCGAGAGTTTACAAAGCTTGGGAGATACACAATCTCTGGCCAACCCCACCAGTGTGAGGGCTGCTCTGCAGAAAGCAGAGCACAGCCTCTGCTCACACTGACCCTGCAGCAGAAAGAAAACGTGGATACCAGGGCTGCACTCATGGCTGAGAGCACTGACGCCATCCAAAGGAGGTCAGAGCTCCCCTGGGAGCCCAGTTTCTCATCTTTTCCTGGCCAGACCACCAGGTCTCACTGCCCTTAAGCAATATGGGTAGATGTGCATGTGTGGAGGGGTAACACACTGGTTCCCTCTGTGGGCTTAGTGAGGAGCTGCAGTGCTGGTCCCCGTAACCCAACTGATGGGTCACTGTGTGGGCAGAGGACTTCCAGGGCCCCATGGCAGTCCTGCTGCTCTGGGAGAAGCTCTCCTGGGACAGACTAAATGCAGGGAGCCCAGAGGAAAGTGGCATGGCTGGTACCTGTCTGGCAGGCTCGCCCCGTCCAGCCAGGTGGGCAGTCACATCTCCCGGGGAAGGTGCAGCTCCCACCGTTCTGGCATGGCACCCAGCAGAGAGCTGTGGGACCAAACACGAACACAGCATCACTGGGCAGCTCTGGGGGTCCTGAGCTCCCTCCCCTGCCACCGTGGGTACATGAACACACACACGAAAACACACCCCAGCTCCAGCCTGGGCCAGGATGCTCCGCAGCAGCCCCAGAGCAGTGGGGTTGAGCTGACCAGGGCTCACAGGGCTCAGAACAAGTGGTACTAACAGGACTTTGGTATTTCCAGCCTGGAAAAAGGCCAAAGTGCCTGCAGGTAGCACAGCTGGAAGGCAGGAGGGTCAATGGGCAGCAGAAGGCCCTGGTGCTGTGCTCTGAGCTCATCTGGGGACAGACTAGCTGCTGATGTTTTGTGTTTGTTTTGTGCTGTACATCACAGTTGCCTCCTGAAAGCATTTCTCTTCCATTACTGCTCGTTTATATGGAAAGGCCTTACTCGTTATATTTATCCTCTGGTAACTATAAAGTTAATAAGCAATCCCAAAGGAAAAAGGCCTGCGAGGCAGCAGGGAAAGGCTGAGAATTAATCAGAAATTGAGCTGCATATGGCTGTGACGCCAACATTTAAAATGCTTTCCTACAGGGAGAACTGTCTGACAGGCAAGACTGCTGGTAAATGAGAGCTGGCTGCTGGGGCTCACCCAGGGACCTGAGCTACCCAGCTCATGGGCTCTGGGAGGCAGGTGGGTGCTGGCACTGGGGTGGCACAGCAGCCTCTTACCTCTGTTGCACCCCAGTGCGTGGCTGTTTGCTCTGCTCCAGCCAGGACAGCACGAGGCCACGGGCTGGGGCAGCTCCTGGATCACCTGCCGGTAGGCAACCCTGTAGATGGTCCTGGAACACAAAGACAAGCTGAGTTGTGTGGCTGAGAACGTGCCCCAAGCCCCCCATCCTGCTCCCATGCCAGCGGGTCAGATCCCCCTGCCCAGGGCCTGGGAGCCCCTTCCCCACAGATGGAGGCAGGACTGCCTGGCTGGGATGGATCCGGGTCCCTCTTGGGGACCAGCCTGGTGGCTGCCCTCACCTGTAGGTGCTGCAGAGGCGGTGGCCCTGGCAGGTGGTGAGGTAGGGCTGGTACACGGGCTGGACGTGGGACTCGGCGCGGGCTGCCCGGCCCCGCGGCACCGCGGCACAGACCCTGCGGCTGAGCAGGGGGAGCAGGTCACACACCAGCCACAAACCAACCCCGCGCTTCTCCCTTCGCCACAAAGGGGCTGATTTACACCAGCCCAGGACAGTCCCTCTCTCCAGACAGCTATTTAAGTGGCAGTGGCTAATTGCCCGAGTGACCCCCGAAGCTACTTCACGCTGTTTCAGGGCAGCACCACAAAGCGGGAGCCGTGCGGGCTGCACAGCCTCCTCCTGCCCCGCACCTCACACACTCACCCCAGCCCTGTCCCTCTGTCCCAGGAGAGCTGTCGGGGCCCATATTTAAGAGTTATTTACTCAAAGCAGTTCTCCTTCCATTCATCTCCTGCCTTCCCCAAAAAATCACCTCCTCTCTGGGCGGATTTTTCCTTTCTGAGACTTTTGCATTCCTGAAACGGGTGCCCCTGTGGTCACCAAGAAATGAATCATCCCACAGGAAGGGTCAGGCTCACCACAAAAAAAGTAGAGGCCAGAAGAAAGTTGCCCTCTCATCTTCCTAAGATAACTGTGATCCACTCAAAAAACTTTCCCAAGGTTGACAGCCAAGGTGGTCTTAGTTAAAAACTCTTTTTCTTTTTACATTTTCCAGCCCAAGCAGGTCAGTCCCACTGAGGAACTCGTCTACTTGTCTCAGCTTCCCAGCCCAATTAGAAACTAGAATGAAAAGCCTGGGAATTAGCACGGACATCAGATGGCTTCCATTAACTCCAGAAAACTCCTCTCAGCCTCACTGATTAATGCTATAGAAGATGCACTTTTAAATAGCAATTGTTTGCTTTGCAAAATGTAGAACAAAGCTAGAGCTGCAGCCTGTGTGTGTGAGTGAGGAATTCAGCCTGTGGGTTTAGTCACAACCAGCATGTAAAAGGTTCAATGCCAGAGGAGAGTATCTCAGTGTAAAAACAAACTGCAGAAAATGTGAGCTGTAGCCAGGGGATGAGCACTGAGCTTGAGCTCCTCTTGGCTGGGGAAGAAACTGGGACACTGAGCTCTGGGCTTTCTCAGACCCAGTGGGAGATGAGCTGTGCCTGCCCAGGCTGTGCTGGGATCCAGGGCATCGTGCCGGACCCATATCCTGGAAAGGGAAGGGGAATTGCTGGAGCTGCCACTGCTGAGCTTGCAGAACCACAACTGCAGCCATCGCAGCAGCCCAGGGAGCACAGGGCATGGCAGGCAACAACCTGCTGGGGCTTTCCATGTCTATGTGCCCTGGATGGAGCATCCTCTCAGAGCTGGGAGGCTGCATCCTCCTCTGGAGGCTCGTTTGTGCAGTTTGGTTGGAGTGAGAGCAGGACTGCATGTGTATTTTTGTGCATGAATGTGCTCAAAAGAGACAATAATAATTCATAAACAGTTCAGGGCCTTTTTAGCTTTGACTCTCTCAGACTAAAAGCCCAGCATGTCCTTTGTGTCCCCTGGAGGGAGCTAAACGGAGCCAGAGCTCTGAGAGGTTTCTTTGCTTCAGTGACAAAGCAACCAAACACCAGCCAAGGGCTGCTGAGGAGGACTCTGCTGAGCCTCTTCCCACCTCCTGGCCAGCCCAGGGGGCTGCAGTGCAGGTGCAGCCAGCTGGCCAAGCAGGGCTCCTCATCACCCCGAGAGGCCGCACCTCGCCATGCCATGCAGACAGAAACCCCCAGGAGATGCTGACAAAAAGGGGGCTTACCCTGCCCGGGCAAAGGCATCTGTGCTGGTCATGCTGAGGATGAAGAGGAGTCCCAGGTGGAGGCAGGCGACGCGGCGCATGTCCCGTCCCTGCTGCGGTGCCCTGGGCTGCGCGGCACGACCGGGTCTCGCTCTCCCGTGGGCAGTGCTGGCTCCTACCACATGGCTGGCCCTTCAGTGGGGAACCCTGCAAAGCAGAGATGAGTGGTGTGAATGTGTGGCATTCCCAGCTGGGGACATCTGATGGAGCTGTGGGGACAGGGTCAGATGGACAACACTGGGTGTGCACAGCACGCATGGCTGGGGCAGGAGCACAGTTGCTGGAAACAGAGCATGGTGATACATCAAAGCAGAGGGGAAGAGGGGACACAAGGGACACATGAACCCCTTGCAAGGTGGGCACTCCTCTAGGAGCAAACCTGCTTTGCCCAGTTCAAGTCACCACTGGGCAGTGATTTTCCCTGGGGGACGCCTGGCCCGGCAACCAGGAGATGCTCTTGTGGCACCAGGAAGGGACCAATTCCAGTCAGTGAGGGCAAAACAACAGCCCATCATTTCTTAATCCATACAGCATTGAAAAGCTGCCTTTTCCCACCACATAACACACTGAAATCTGATCTTCTTCTCTTTAAAATACAAGTTCCTGCCAGAGAATAGTGCTGTAAGGGACAAATGTACTGTCTGCAAAGTCAGTACTAACTGAGTCACAAATAAAGAGGCTTTGATTTTCTAGCAGAGGACAAATATGAAACAAGGCTGAAGAAGGTCAATAACAATATCTAATTAAACAATATATAATTTAAACAGAACAGTTGGCCTCCGGATGGCAGCAGTTAAAGGAGGAAGAAATTAAGAAACCCTCCTTAAATATATGCCAATTAAAGAAAGAATCAGTCTTTCTGACTAAACCTTGAGAAAGGAATGGCTTTAAAGAGAAGCAACACAAAATGAAACATCCTTTTGAAGCTGCAAATAAACTCTAAAGTCCCCAGGTGATGTGGGATTTGGGATTGTAGGTTCATCCCCAAACTCCTACGGGACAATTCCTAACTCTGAGCCAAGTTATTGGGGATAATCCTCCCTTGTAGGGAGGATTTTGGTAATATAAAGCCTGTAGTGTCCATTCTTCTCCAAAAATAGTGATAAATTGCATCCTCTAATGATTAATATGTGGTGTCTGCACCAGCAGGAAATCAAATCTTTCTTGACCTGCAGGAAAAATTTTAAAATAACAGTGAAGAAACTGCCTTTCTCCCCAGCCCTTCTGGAGACACCAACATACAGAGATGTACCAACTCCCCACTGTTTAGCCAGCCAGCTTTTCCCAGGGCTATACTGGGACACATATTTTCCTTACAATCATAGATCCCCAGACTAGCAGTGCATCTCCAAAAATTTCTAAGTCTAACTCTGCCAACCATCTCTGTCCTCCCATGGGATTCCTGTGACTGCTGTGGGAGCTTTTCCTGTGGGCACAAGCCTAAAATATAGATGGTTTGGGTTTTTGCTTTGGAATGGGGCAGCATTGCCCTACCTCAAGTGGTCAGACTACCCCTCTGGGTCATAGAATGATGGTTGCTTCATAGCAGAAAAAGTTTCAAAAGTGGAAATTATGGTAGCCTATTCTTGTCTTTTTTATTAGCTTATGAAGATCAGCCTCTCTGAAGGCACTGAAGATCCTCCAACCTGGTGTCATTACCTATTCTAATACTTCTCTTTTAAAGCACATAACTGAGGGAAAATAGTTCAGGATTAAGGAAAAAAATGTTGTTAGTGTTTTTTTTAATTGCATTTCTGATCTCTCAAATGAAGATATAAAGCCCCATCATCTGGCAAGTGAAATTATATGGGTGCATCTGGGATTCTGTAGTTCCAGGGATCAGCAAAGTCTCCTTGGCTGCCCACCTGCTCCTGTGAATCTGGGGGGGTCCCTCTCCCACCATCCAAAGCCCTTAGTCTGCTCTTGCCTAACCTGCTGCAACAATCAAGGGGAACACACAGCCCACCGTGTGGGTGAGCAGTGCTTTGTCTAGCTCTGCCCATGAAACCAAAGCTCAGGCTCCAGCTGATGGCAGCAGCAGGAATCAGAGCCTGTCTGCAAAGTGGTGCAAGAGAACCCAGTCCCTCCAGAGGATGAAGTTACCCTCAGGAGAATGCAACGGCTGCATGTTTCCAACCAGCCTGGCCTGGTTCTGCAGGTGAAGCTGCTGCTCCCCAACGTGCCCTGGCTCCGGTCTGTGCCCTTAGCGCCAAACCCTCCTGGAGAGGGTCAAGCACCAGCAGCAGGAAGACGGGTTTTCTCTTACAAACGCCTCCAGCTGCTCTCCCCGCAGGCTGGATCGGGCAGCGCGGGCACAGGGATGCGGGGGCGAGGGAGCAGGGCACGGGAACGTGGGCACGATGGAGCAGGGAGGGGGACACGGGGACACCGCGGGGGCACGGCACCCGTGCAGCAGAGGGCAGGGACACGCAGGGACACGGGTACCGCGCAGCGGGGCACAAGGACGCGGGTAAGACGGAGGGGGGATGCAGGGACACGGCGGAGCGGGACAGAGGGACGAAGGTACCGCGGGGCAGGGACGCGGGGAAGGCGGCGGCCGGCGCGGGGATGCTCCTCCCGAACCGCAGCGGGCCG